TACGCACCATGTATACCGAGCTCTTTCACACAGCTAAAGTCGTGATGAATTGCCTCGATGAGTGAAGTTAGGTATTGCGTGCGATGGTCAAAAATGAGAGGAAGTACCTTTGAAGTACAGTTACAGATGATTTCGTTGGTGAAAGACTTCCACATCCAAATCGGGTAAGGCGTTGAGGCAGGTTCTGAAATCCTTGAGGCGTATTCACATACTCCTGTACTCGGGAAGTCGCACCCACTACTCCGTAGATGTAGTGGGTCACACCATATTACCGAGCACTTCATGTACACAACAACTATGCCCGGTCGTTACATGTAGCTGCAAGTAGTACGTCAGAGAAGTACTCTTGTGAATCGTGATACTATGATCATTGGCTGACTCTAGGTAAAATGTGCGTTTGGACAAATTGCGTGCTTTATTTGAATTTTTTTGGGGGGAACGTTCCCGAGAAATGATGCGAGGAACTGTTCGTTTAGTAATTTGCCACAGACCGGTACTATGTATGGCTTCAGGAATATTCAGGTATGGAAAGCGCGTTCTCGTGGCCCAGCGGTTCACGAGAGCATTGAGCATCTTAGTTGTCTATGGTGTTTAGTACGATGTACCTAATCGGGCTGCTTTGTTCGTCGTAGGTCACAATAGATAAACAGAGGGAACAAGGACATGACAACAAACGATCGATCCCACCGGGATAAACTGGGCGTATGTATATACGATGGCGACTCTCGCTGGTTCCGAAATTTCCGTGAAAAACTGAAAGAACAACTTTGTACTCAATTCGACTCAACTAGCCCCCCTGCCCTTCTCAACTACATGATGAGAGAACAGCTCTCCTAATATAGCCAAACGGAGGAGATAGACTAAACCTAAACAGGAAGGGAAAACATGAAGAAAACGAAGAAAATGTTGCATTCCGAGCACCTCTCCCTTCATTCCTTCATCAACAATGACAGGTGTTGGAATCGCCATCCTCAATAGGCACTTACGGTGCAATCTCTGCGTACGCATGTTTGCTACGATGAGGAGCGGTGTACGGATCGGTGTGCGAACCTCAAACACTTGGGGTCGCACAACATCAGGGGCCGGTGTGCAACTGCACATGATGGGGGATGAGATGGTGGTTTACCTTCTGAGGTGATGGTCTCCCTTCTCTGGTATATGAGACCATACCTCTGCCACTTTCCTTCTCCCCTTTCTCTTTTCCATAGCTGCCATGAATATATTGTATTGTTCATGTCAGCCAACCCTGCGTATACGCATCCCTTGCGAGTTTGTTCCAACAACAGGACTCAGGAGAAGTCATGGGCGTTTCGGAGCGAAAAAAAAGGTGCGTTTTATTGGTTATGGGTTTAATTAAAGATGACCCTCACGTGATCATAGGCCGTGTGGCTCAATGGCAGAGCGTCTGACTACGATTGCCGTGTACGATCTACGTGTGCGGGTCATGTGTTATCAGAAGGTCGCAGGTTCGACCCCTGTCTCGGTCAGCTTTTTTGCTCGTGATGGTCTGTTTTTTTATCATTCGTACGGGTACTCGGGGGTGAAACCTAAAAAGGAAGGGTCTCATTATGCAGGAACCCTATTCTGTTACGCAGGAACCCCAATCGCCGCGACCGGCGATATTTGTCATAAACACGTGACCATTCCGCACAACGATACTTGGGTTGGGCAAATGCTTCAAAGATCACTTGATCGAGTTGTGAATTTGAAATTTGGAAAATACATTTGAAAATAAATACAAAATGCTTAATTGACTTCCCAGTCCTTGCACAACACCATCCCAATACTCCCGAGTGGCGACGTCATCGCCTCCTGTGCCATCATGAGCTGCAATGTCAGCCTCATTTTCCGCTTCATTGGTAACGTCATCCTCGACTTCAATTGCTAAGCCCTCACTATCTCCTAAGATGATGTCTCCCGAGCCTCCCAGTGAGAATGGCGCCTCTGGGTCCTCCAACGGCGGCGCCATTCGTTGAGACGCGCGAGGCCTCTGCGTACCAGCCTCATACGTATCCCCATGAACGTCCAGCCACTCCAAAGCCTTGATTGTGGACGAAGCATTCGTGATCGCGGAAGGCGAATTAGGCGCATCTGGGACAGCAAACTCCGGATGTGGAAGACGTCGCTTTCGGTTTCGAACTGGAGGCGCTGGTTGAAGCGCCGGTGGCGCTGATGATGACGGCGCGGATGAAGAATTTTGCAATGCTTCATTGCGCTCCTGATTAAGAGCTCTGTCAAGCAGCGTCGGATCGCGTCGATGCGATCGTGAGCCTAGACCAAGACTACCTTTCGGCCTCCCCTTGCCCTTGACGATTAAGGGATCGTACGGTCCAAGAGGGAGATCATCTCCGGTCAAAAGCCGCGTCCGGTCGAGCCACCAGAATCGATCTACGGCTTCAAGAGGGATTGGAACGTCTTGTTCCTGGTACCGGAAGAGGCGATGCCGACAAGGAAGGCCCAGACCAATGCTAATCCCGCAATCGCATGGCAAAGAAGGCATCGGGACTCCGGGCCTGGGCTTCTGAAGCGACCTTAACTCCTTGACAATCAAGGAAAGAGCATTCTCACTCACTTTACCCCTCAGCTCTGAGTACAAGACACCCAGCGTGTCAGTACCAAACCGCCCGCTAACAAAAGTCTCTTCCGCGCGTATTCTAGCGCCCTGCGCCTTCCAGAACGAGACAAGGCCATCCGTTGCTGATCGAAGATCTCCTGTGCTGCCAGAAATGTGCCGTTTGATACTTGCGTGCATTGATTCAGCCGACGACGTCGTTGTGAGGCCAAAATGACGGTGCTGATCAATGAAAGCGGTCACGAAGTGCTCGGCCCACGGCTGAATCCAGGTCTTGAGGCAGTAATTGACTGCGGCAGGGGGCCAACCATGAGTTTGAAATTCCTGGAGTCGCTCTTCGTACACTGGCACCGTAGGTGCGTAAGTCAGTTGGGAGAATGCGTGAAGGAAGTCCGTAAATAGGGGATCACGGACTATCTTCCCGTCTGGCCCCTTCCTTGCAGGGCCAAAATACCCCTTCGTCTTTGCAAGAACATTAGAGTTGACGTGCCAGCGGCAAATGTGCAAGGGGCACTCGTTGAAAGGCTCCATCTTACTCAAGGCGTTGATGATCGCTTTCTCCCGATCCGTGCACATAATGCGAGGGCCTGGAATAGCCTCATCATGTAGCAGCTGGCGCAATTGACTGAGAGCCCATGCGTAGGTGCTCTCGACCTCGTTGGGTAAGAATATAGCAGCAACCGAAAATGTTTTCCTCGTGTTCGTAATGCCGCTGATGTTCAGAAGAGGCATTTTGAACTTGTTGGTCTTGTAGGTGCAGTCAAACTGCAGTACGTCCGGATGCTTCCTCAGAAGATCGATGCCGCTTCGTGGAGCGATGAAAAGGCATTGAATCCGGCCACCATCATCGGTGCAAGAGGCTGAGACAAAATATGGATTCTCGCGGAGCTCATCAATGAGCCACTCAATCGAGGTTCGTCCCCCAAGCATAGCTCGATCGTGAGCTCGAAGGAAGTTTGCGATATCCTGGCCCCTCA